CCAGTAAACGTCATACATACGTCACATGTTTGAACAGATGGCTGCCTACACATAAACTAGCGCTGTCCAAGTAGTTGTACAAACAGCGCACTCTGTATGCTATACTGTATACATTGTCACACATGTTGTTGTCTATTCGCCAACACTAGTCTATGTGTGTGCAGTCAGCTGTGCTCACATGTGATGTTTGTATCAAAGGGGCCAGGAAACGGTTTTCATATTGCGTTGGGAACTTTCTGGATTCACAGTATGTTTTTAAGACATTTTTCACATTTGTTTCACAAATATAGACAACTTTTGTATTTATTTTCAGTTGACAGCATAGAGAATGTTTTATCATTACATCTCCTGGCTGTGTATTTGGGTTTTGGGATTNTCTGGATTCACAGTATGTTTTTAAGACATTTTTCACATTTGTTTCACAAATATAGACAACTTTTGTATTTATTTTCAGTTGACAGCATAGAGAATGTTTTATCATTACATCTCCTGGCTGTGTATTTGGGTTTTGGGATTTGATTGACAACATACAGTGTTGATAACACATAGGTTTTACTGTATGAGTAAAAATTCTCATAGGTTTGCATTATAGCTAATGGGCATTAACTCATTGAGCATTGCTGGTATGTACTTACTTCTAGGCGGTGCTGCGAGTGCGACATCGTGGTCAATGAACTGACCCCAACTCATAATGAGAATGGTCAATTCATTGGACGGGTGGTCAAAATCTCTATGAACTATAGACGTAACTAAGCGAGGGTTTGGCAATTTGGCCCCTTTAACGACGCTCACCCGTTCGCCCTGAATGCCTGACCCATTCAAATACAACACAATAAACGAGTTAATTAATGATGACAGCAATTATATGAGCGGACATACCATCTGAGTAGACGGGCGGCAGGTATCGGACGAATGGTGTGTGGGATGCGCCCCAACTCGGGTTCTTAAGGTTATTGCAATGAGCGGTATAAGTGCGGTACCGGTCGACAGAGCACGGGATTGGCTTGACGTGCATCGGGCAGTGATCCCAATACACTGTCCGAGACATGTCTATTAGTGGCAATCCGTTCAGTATCTCGTCGTGCGATAACTCAAATCTATGCATACGTTTGTTAATAAATATTTATTGTTTTTTACGATTAGTATTGATTTATTTGAAGGCATGACTGACTGGTATGTGAGAAGACGTGTGGTCTCGAGCGCCACTTCGGACGTCTCTCCAATCATATCTGGCGGCGGCTCCAGACTGTCGATACCGTTTGGCCGCTTGTATCGCAACGTATGCATCGCCTCCTTAACGGCTCGGTTCACGTCTATATACCGAATGCACACCTCCTGGTACTGGTTGTCCCCATAGTCTCCGTCGTCCACTTCATTACTGATTCATTGCAATTATTATACATTATGTATTAATACTCAACAAATATTGCCTATTTTTTTATCTATAAATATTATATCTTTATTTATTATAAGTTAATATAGGTTTCAATTATTACGGTATAAATATATTCAATTATAGAATGTGTGGAATTATTTTAAAATAAATTAATGTATAGAAAATAAATTAATTCAATTAAGTGATTTCGCTCTCAAAATAAATTGCTGTTTTATGAGTTTCGCAGAAAATAATTTATTTTGTCAGAAATGATAATACTGTGGATTATTTTAATGAAAGTCAGAAAAGCAAATATAGTATTTAATTGAAAGTAAACTATTTTAGAAACTTTAAATATTAGGCAGTATTATAAGAATATTGTTTTTTCCAACTTTGGTTCGTGTTTTTATTTAGATTCTTCAGTTTTTTAATGATTTTGGAAAAATTTACATAAAGTTATTGTATTTGCTTAACGCTACTGTAAACTCAACATTAAAAATGTTTGCTTAAGTGAGTGTAAATGTCAAATAATGTTGTATTAAAACATTAGAAACATAACTTTTAGCTCAAAAATTACTTATTATTCACTTGTATTAGACGTGAAAAAGAAAAATCCAAAATAGACTTTTAATTTGACAGCAAAACAAACATAATATACACGTAATGTGCTGTAAGTGTTGGTTTCATGACATACCCCTCGCCTTTGATCATATCAAAGAAGCCTCCATAGAGAGGAGCGTGAGATTTGTAACGTTTGCCGTTCACGTAAGTCCTCTGCAATATGAGAGCGCATTCCGAGGACTTGTGGTGTCCGCTACTGTCCCTCGACTCCAGTGGCAGATATGTCACCGCATTTGGTTCCGACAGATCCGACACAAAGATCTGGCCATTGATTAATATGTTTTTAAACGTGAATATAATCGATATCCTCAGTATTATATTCAATTCGCTGCTAAAATAGTATTCAAAGCAATCAATTATTATGTTATCATATATTTAGGTATTGTTAAGTATATTATTATTGTTATTAACATTTTTTCTAATTATATAACACTTCAAAATTGTTGTAATAAGTATACAATTTGCTACAAATTACAAGGAAATGATGTACAATAGGAATAATTATATAATCTTCTACTATATTAAATATTGTTTAAAATGATAGATAATGGACGAGTAGGTGCGCGGACAGTGAGATGTCGGTTGCAATTAATTAGCAATTAGTGTCAAAAACATACTGAAAATTATAGCATTTCATTA